TCTATGTTCTAGAATTTGACGAGGTGTGAAGATGTGGTCAATACAGCCTCCACCAGGTCTGAAACCGGCCTGGTTATCACACATACACCGTTCACGTGCGGCAGACAATCGACGGAGTATGATACCAGCGAGAAGTTTGGAGATGATGATGGTTAAACTAATTCCTCTGTGGTTTCCACAATAGGACTATTCACCTTTCTTGTAAATCGGTATGATCACCGATTCACACCATTCAGTTGGAACCTGTTCTTTTTCCCACACTGAGCCCAGGAGTCTTGTTAACTCCAAAACCAAGGCTAGACCTCCATCCTTAAAAACCGATGGGGACAGTCCGTCGGGACTGGAAACTTTATGCCGTTTGAGGTGACTTATTTCCCGAGTAACCTCCATTTCAGATGGAGGACTGATGTCAACTGGCAGTATTTGCACAGTGGAACCGGGTGGGGGGATGCCTGGTGTCGACGGCAAAGCTACCAACCATCAAATGAATAATCCTTTTTAAAACAGGAAAGATTAACTCACCTCCATCAAACGATGGCGCAGGAGAATCAATTATACAAACGAATCTGTATTTTATCAACAGTCCCGATGAATACGTAACCAATGTACGGAGTTACATAATCGACGCGAACGTTGATAAAATACCTACGATTAAAAATGTTGAGAATTATGCTTACTTTCAGAAGGATAGTTGATGGACTGTCAATTTCGGCTATCTTTCCTCTTCCAAGTGCTCCAACACAATCACCCTTCGAATACCATTGGCAATTCGCACAACAAAGACATGGAGCTCTATCTGCTACGCCTCGTAACCAACCTAATCTGTGGTTGCAGAACCTGGATGTTATGACTGTCGCAAACAGTGGTGTTGTTCGTATAATACAGAGTTGGGTTAAACATAATTTTCATCCCTGTTTACTAAAGTGGTTAAAGGTGTTATTTAAAATAGTTCGCAAACGGAAAGGACATGAAGTTAACACATCAGGACTGAATGATGTTAGGAGTGTATCGAAAAACCTATGCGCCGTATGTTGTTTTATTGCGAATGTTATAATGGTTTCTTCGGTGAACTGCAGCTTCACCTTTCGCACGCGAGCATAACATATCGAACGTACAAAGAAAGAGCTTGTGAGCGATTTATTAAACCATCGATTTAATCCCTTTGACTACAAATCATAGCGGTTGCATATGTTTAGCTGGGTCTATCCCCAAAACTTAACATTGTACAATGAATTGACAAAAACAGGAAATTCGGTGGCCACATAGTGACTCACTTGTTTGGGTATTGGTGGTGGAGAGGATCGAGCTTCTTCTGGAGCACTGAACACTTTGAGGGCTGATTTATCGATCAATGTGTATAATTGCTGACATGTGTCGCACTTCATAAAACGAGAAACATCTGTATGAAGAGCCACAAAGGAATTCGTAAACAAATCAACTCTCACTGGGCAAGTCGATTTGGTACACTGGATCAAAATCATATCATACCAACCTATGAAATACAAGTATAGTGAATGATTAATAGGCTACTAGAAATATTCCACTGTTTTTTCAAAACTTGATTTCTACACAATCAACAAGGTAAAACAGCGGATTACGGTGATGCCAACCTCAAGATAGTGTAGTTTTGGAAATCTCAGCGCATACTGACGAGGAACAACGAAATAATCACATGGCCCTGTTGCTTACCGGGAATTAAATGCTAACAAAACTCACATGAACTGGATGGTTCAATGGCTCTCAAAGGCCCACCACATTTGCTGCACCTCATAAATGAACCTCCATTGCCAGTACCGTTACCTCCACCCAGTTTCTCTTCTGAAGATTCGCTGTATTCAATAGAGCTTGCGGAAGAAGACCCTATGTTTTCACCATCATTGGATCCTCCGGGATGTGAGGGAGGCTTTGCTGAACGATTTAGAAAGGTAAGCATTAGAAACCGGCGAAAACTTGCACACAACACACAAAAGAGAATTCATTGCGAATGAAAGACGTAACACTGAAGAAAACAGTCGAGGTTAAAAAAGAGCGTACACATAAACAAATTTTTATGACCAGCACGATAAACAAAACAAAACAGTGCAGTGGACGCATATAACATCCAGAATAGACAATCGCTCGCAGCTAGTTTCCAGCGTTCTATTCGATTTATCATCAGTATCATCCTACACCGAAATAAAGAGAAGCGAACTTCACTGATCGCTGCGAATTCACAATGCATGCAAGATTATTGGCAAAATTTAAGGTGCACAGGGACTGCACCTC